GAAGAATCTTGTCTGCCATCTGCTGGACACTTTCTATTGTGCTCATATTTAGATGCCTTATTTTGCAAATGCTACCTTCCTGGAATTTGGAATGCTTGTTTGTCTTTGTGTCTATGGTGTATGTGATTGTGATGCTGTAATTCTGAGTGTTTTATGTGCTGCAGAACAGGAACCTGCTGTAAAACAGCAATTATGCTGAGTCAGGCTTGATTTTTAATAATCTTTTCCTGTTAAATAAATCAAATCAAATCAAGTCATAATAGCCTAGTGTCTACCACAGCCATCCCTACTGCTCTGAACATCTATAAAGCTTTTTGTAAAAAAAAAAGTTTGGCCATATTAAAGCTCAATAAATCACAACAGAGACAATCCAAAGGGCACAGAGTCACATCATTTAGAGGAAAACCCTGCCTTTGAGCCTGACATTGCATTTAACGTTTTCAGCCTGTTTCCTACTTTGACTCCTGGCCAGGTTGTTGGCGTGTGTTTGTGGAGCCCTCCTGCTGTGTGTTTACCTGCCTGTGTCCACGATAACCCGTTTCAGCGGGTTCCCTGCTACTTTCTGGTTTCATTTATCTCTTAACCCGCCTGTTAGGTTTGTTTTAAAAAAAATATAAAAGCTGTGGGCTAGAAAAGCAAAACGATAAGAATATATAGAATACGTGAATAGAAATATACGGTATTCTTGCTCTCCTGTGTGTGTAACCCAAAACAAACAAACATGTTTTTTTTWACTTTTTTTTCTGCAGGGTGCAGAAATCAGAGAATGCACAGCATGTTTGGATGATGTGTAACATTACTAACGAACAGAAAAAAAAACTATTAATGACAAACGTACGTCAATCTGATCAAGTTTGACATCCTTGTAGGCCTTTTTCATTTCTTTCGCACCAGTCTTCATGGCATCCACCTGCAGACACAAAACAGGCAGAAGAAGCATTTTTGCTGTGTAATCTGTCCCCCACCCCCCCTTTTATTTTCTTAGCGATGCTGACATGAAAACAGATGCGTGTCTGTCACACAAGGCAGGATTAGTGGTCGTAATGTCAGCTTCAAAAAGGTGGCTCACGAATTCTTCTCAAAATGTTAAGGTTCAACTAATTTGTCTGATTTCGCACCTCCTTTCTCCTTCAACCCCTTACCTGTGACACAGAAATCGGTCTCCGCCAAATACTCTGAAGGGTATTTTATTCTCTCAACTACAAATGGAGGGAAAGGGATCAAAGCGAGGGGGAAGCTATTAGCGAGGATGCAGCAGTGTCTCTTTTCCTGAGGTCTATTTTTTCACCATCCAACCATAGCGGGAGCGTGTTAATTAAAGACATATAATAAAAACACTGAACGTTTTTCTTGCATACAGAAAAAAAAGGCTGCAGCAAACAACTGATGACATTAGAAGATGCTGCTCAGTCACACTTGACAGTCAATTGATGATTGATTAAAATAAAGTCTGCAAAACACGAAGGCCTTAAAAGCCTCTCAACTCAGTGCCAACTTTCCCTCCTGTGCTTATGTTTGTGCTTTGCTCCTCAATTCAAGATGTTTTCTCCAACCTGCATTTCCTAAGTATTTCAGCCGTTRAGAACAGAAAGCATTAAAACCTAACATACAGTTTAAAACCACAAGGTTTTGATAATATGGAAAATGTAATTACAAAGACATTAGCACTCTAGCCCAAATACTGAGCTCATTTACGTTTCTTTTTTTTATCCGATGCAGAGAATGTCTACAACACATTAAATAAACTGAAAACATTATTTTAGTTACAGGTGTCTAAAATATCTGTAATATTTGGTCTAAAA